TTGAGCACACACACACATTGAGAGATCACAAGGAATCCACACTGGAGACCAGAGATGCGAAGTCCAGATTAGCGCATCTTAGAGATTCCAACAAATTATCATGCTAAACACTTTGAGTTCCGGTTACCAAGCGCTCAGCAGCACAGAGTTCAGCAACCCAAATCCTGCATCTTCATCTAGGTAGGTGACCTCCTCTTCCCTGTCTCACTCTCCCTTCATGCATGTGTTAACTCCCTCTCTCTCTCTCTCTCCCTCTCTTCCTCTCTGGATGAAGATCTTGAGTCTGGATACATCCGCTACTACTCAGCTCTACCTCCTACGACTAGCTGGGCAGCTATGGCCGCCTTCCTTCCTCAGCACACTGCTGCCCAGCCAGGACTCTAGTGCATGCTTCTCGCAGATAGCACACAAGCGCCTAACAACCTTCCACACTTCTCGCAAATGCGCAATCTGTTCGAAATGTGGCTGACCAGTCCGTATCTTGACTTGGACTGAGCCTTGACTCGTCCCAGCCTCTGCTTCTCTTGGCTTGACTTGGACCCGATACCGGCTGCCTGCGGCCTGTCTGCTTCATAATGTTGAGGCCCGGTATCTTCCTGAGTTTTCCTTGGTGTGCTGCTGCTTTTGGGTCTGTGGGACGTGACCTTTGACTGTGGGTCGTGACTCTTGCCCGTGGGATATGACCTCTGACTGTGAGACGTGGCTTTTTTTGCCTCTGGGATGTGACTTTTGCCTCTGGGATGTGACTGTTGACCGGGTACCTGTTGGACGTGACCTCTGGGGTACCCGACGTAACCTTTCTGAATCTGGCCGACCTGGCCCCTTTGGCTTGGGGACTTTGACCTTGAGATTCAAATTTGGGGTCTGCATCGTGAAATGCCTTTCACTCTCAACGACCCGATTTCGAGGTCCTCTGAGAAAGTTACAAAGTTTATCTGTCAATTATGTTAAGTCCTCTCCTAGCTCTCTCGTAATAAGACCCTATGTGCAGTGCTGTTTCTATCAGCTCATCTCTAGTAAACCAGCAATCTTCTAAGGGTTCTTGATAAGCAAATCTGACGTTATACTGTCGCTGGGGCCTACAGCTGCATCCAGATCCATAAACATCCTCAACAACGGTACGGTCCACATCATACTTGCCATCCGTATCAGGAGCAATCATAGATCTTCGAGACGAAAACAGATTGTTACTGACACAAGGGAGCAACTTAGAGGCATGAAACTTTGGGTAGGGGTGCAAATGTGGAGGAATCTCAACAACGTACATCACCAATCACGTCAAGTATCTGCCACGGTCCTCTATATGTAGGCAACAATTTTTGAGAGATGTTCTCCTCTGGGAGAAACTCTTTGGACTTCACCCAGACTAAGTCTCCTACAACGAACTGCGACGGTCTGCGGTGCTTGTTTGCCTGTTCAATCATCTGATGCTGTGCCTTTTTTATATTCTCCCTGACTTTCCCTAAGTCCTTCCCATACTGCACAGTGAATTCTCTAGTCCCTGGAGGAAGCCTTTGCAGTCGATCAGGGTTCAGACAGTCAATGGGCCTGTGTGGGCGCCAACCCAGATGCAGTTCAGTGGGCGTTCTTGCTGTAGCTAGGTGCACAAAATTATTGTAGGCACTAGCGACCTTGGGAAGATGCTCATCCCAGTCAATCTGATCTGGCCGGATATACATGCGTAGCACTTGCTATAATACCTTGTTCATTTGCTCAGTCTGTCTGTTTGTCTCAGGGTGTCTGCCTGAAGACATAGTCGGTTTGGAACCATAGATGTTCATGAGCTGTTGCCAGAGCTCGCCCGTGAATGGTGTATCTCTGTCACTTGCAATAGTCAAGGGATGCCGGTAGTCTTTCACCCAATGATTGAAGACCTCCCGAATTACTAAGTTTGTCCTAGCTTCAGCAGGGAGTGGCACGAAAACAAGAAACTTGCTAAACTTGTCCACTATTACCATAACTTGACTCTTTCCGTTTCTACTTCCAACCTTAGTGTCCATCAAGGCTATAGACATTGAGTCTCCGGGAACTCTTGTTCCTCTGACACAGTTTGCAGCTGTGCACGTAAGCTGTACAATAATGATACATTCCAATCCATGTGTAGGAACGTAAGAGGTTAGCATACGTCTTCCTCCAACCGAAATATCCCTCAGTATCGTTGTATTCCCCTAGGACTAGACTGAGAATCTCCTCACTGTTCGGTATGCATAGTCTGCCGTGCACATCCATCTTGTCAAGCAGCAGTCCTTGGTAGAGCCTGCAATCGGGTGGCCGTGGGCGCACCCAGCCCAGCCCAGCCGTACCCGATGGGCTCAAAGCAGGTGCGATTTTAAAATCCTAGCTCCAACCGGCTACGGCTGGGTGGAAGAGTGCACCGAGTACGGGCCAGGGCCGGATGGGGTTTCTGGCCGGGTCACCCGCAAGAGGACCTTATGAAATAAGGTACAATTCATATACATATAGCTTCCTAACTTAGGCCATTATACCCCAATTTGTTTTTCTCAGACCATTGGTCCTGCTTTGCTGGCCGGTGCAGGGATCAAGAAAAGAAAAGCTGGCACTGGCACCATAATGCCTTGTGAATATAATTACATGGGACTGCACGCACAGACTACATACGTTCATGATTAGGGTATCTTGTCTTTGTGGGAAAACAACACGAAAGTCTTTGACTTTCGAAAGAAGGCGACAACACATCAATTTCCAATCAGGTAGACCTGAGTTTCAGTTTCGATTCGAATTTCTTGCAGTCGGAAGGCGGGAGAGAGAGAGAGAGAGAGCGTAGTTGTGCTGCCACGGGTGGGTCCCGTGTGGATGTTGGCTGGGTTGGGTACAGTTGTGATTATTTTTGGGTTCCTGGGCAGGTCGGGCCCGGGTTTAAAAATCTGAAAAACACAGTTTTGGGCTGGGCGAAGTTTGGTAAATTTTTCGAAAAGTGGGTGTGGTTGAAAAATGTTTTGAAGTGCAGGTCTGGGTAGCAAGAAAGACAAGGGGTCCTTGGGTCATCCTATAGTCCAGAACTTCGTGTGGTGCCGTTTGCACCTTGTTAATCAACTGACTATAGACAGGATCTTTCTTTTTCTTTTTCTTTTTTTTTTTCTTTTTTTTTTTTTTTTTTTTTTTTTTTTTTGGTGGAGGTGACGGGCAACGATCCCGATCACTAGTGTAAGCAGTTCTAATCATCTTTGTAACTCAGCGCCTGCGTCTAAATATGTCATTATGGCACCGAAGAAGTCATCTCGTCTGCTTAGCATACCAGCAACAACATTATACTTCCCTTTTGCTGGCTTAAGTTCAAAGTCAAACTGATCTATCTCCCCAGCCCACCTTGTCAACTTAGGTGTCATCCGGGCTACGACCTTTAGCCAGCGAAGTGTCTCATGGTCCGAATATACTTTGAAATGTCGCCCTAGGAGGTAAAGCCGCCAATGATTCAAGGCTTCTCTAAGAGCAAACAACTTTCTCTCGTACGTCGGATATAACCTTCTCACTAGGCAGTCTACAGGACATAAACTTGACGGGTCTGTACCCATTACCTTCATTCTGCTGGAGCACAACACCAATCCCGTATTGACTGGCGTCAGTGGTAACTATAAATGGCAAAGATGGATCAGTGATCTTCAAGACCGGGTACTCTATCACTCACTTCTTCAGTTGCTTAAAGGCTGAGTTACAGTCCTTCTCCCATTTCAAGACTGTTTCTTTCCTCAATAGCCTACGAAATGGAGCAGCTATTACAGTAATGTTTGGACGACTTGCGGTAATAGTTGGCCAGACCAAGGAACGACCGTAGTTCTTCGATTACTCTCTGATTGCTGCTATCTTAGTGTCCTCCGGTTTGATTCCATCTCCATCCAACACATGTCCCAAATATAACACCTAATGTTCAAATGGGACGCTGCGCCCGGTTCCCAGCACGTGCGGCTCCCCACGAATAGATTGGAGCATTGTTTCCCCCCAAAAAAGAAAAAAAAAAGAAGAAAAAGGTACAGTCCTTCTCCCATTCAAGACTATTTCTTTCCTCAATAACTACGAAATGGAGCAGCTATTACAGTAATGTTTGGACGACTTGCGGTAATAGTTGTCCAGACCAAGGAACGACCGTAGTTCCGTCAACGTACGCGGTGTCGGCCACTCTCTGATTGCTGCTATCTTAGCGTCCTCCGATTTGATTCCATCTCCATCCAACACATGTCCTGGCCCATTCACACTTCTTTGGGTTCAACTTAAACTCAGCTTCACGCAACTTTCTTAGCACTAACCGAAGGTGCTGCTCGTGTTCTTCTAGCGACTTACTAAAAATCAGAATATCCTCTAAATTTACAACAACGAACTTGTCTAGCCAGTCACGGAAGAGTTCGTTCATACAACGCTGGAAGGTAGCGGTTGCCAGTACATGGCCCCAGGCAGCTTGAGAAAATGAATGGCTGATTCCTAAAATTTCAGAGGCACGGGGTTTCGGGACCACAATAGCTGGCTTGGTGAGCAGCGGGAGTCTGCCGGGCTCATGTGTACTGGTGGTTTAAGAAACTAATCTTTTCCTTTTTGTTGACTTCCTTTTTTTAGATTCCCATTTTGAGGTGGTATACACCATGGCTGAGGGATGGTTTGCCCTGGAGGGCCGGGGGGGGGGGGGCGGGGGGAGGGGGCGCCATGCTGACGACAGGGTGCAATAGTTGAGTGTGCCCACTTTTGCAATTCGACTTTCATCTGAGAATTGTGGGAAAAAAAGGGAAGTAGATCGAGTGCAGATCTGTTTGGGAGAAAATATTGGGAAAAGAAAAGAAATTCAAGAAACCAAATAATCACTACAAGCTATCATGAAAGTGATTGGTGGTCATTTAATTTTTTTTTTTTTTTAAGCCCAGGTTGTTGTAGACGCCATGTACCAGACACACGGTAGTCGCTGCACCAGCCAGCCATTTGTTGTCCTGACAATCGTTCATGCTGTTGCTTGCAGACGTTATTGACTTGAGGTCCTTCAGCAATGGCAAACCGTCAGCAATTGTAATTGGTGCCGGATTTGCAGGCCTGGGCGCTGCAGGCGAGCTCCAAAAAGAATTCAAGGTATGAATGGCAGGCATGAGAAGCGGCAGGCTTGCTTTGGAGATGCCACCATTTACCGTGACTGTTCCAACGTGCTCATTGTCATAAACCACATGCTCATGACAGACTATATCAGCTGCAAACAAGCGATGTGTGCATGCTTGACGAGTGGATTGGTGCATGCATGTGTGTGTGTGTGTGTGTGTGTGTGTGTGTGTGTGTGTGTGTGTGTGNTGTGTGTGTGTGTGTGTGTGTGTGTGTGTGTGTGTGTGTGTGTGTGTGTGTGTGTTGTCATATTCGCTAAGAAGAAAGCATGACTGCGCCAGACTGTTTCGTGTGTGTGTGTGTGTGTGTGTGTGTGTGTGTGTGTGTGTGTGTGTGTGTGTTGTCACATTCGCTAAAAAAAAAGCATGACTGCGCCAGACTGATTCGTCGGACTTTCACCGACTCATCAGGAGGTTGAACCTGGACTTACAGTCTGTCCAGGATTCATTTGACTGATAGATAAGGACTCTCCACATCGGCCAGAGTTGTGTGTGTGTGTGTGTGTGTGTGTGTGTGTGTGTGTGTGTGTGTGGGTGTGTGTGTGTGTCTGCGCGCATGTGCATGCATGGGCATCCCACACAGGTTGTGAGGGGTCCTGCCTTGAACCCATGTGTGCATGGGCCTCCTGCACAGGCTGTGCGGGGCCCTGCCTTGAACCCTGAGGCCCCAGGGTCACGACCCATGTTTTGGGCGGCCTTAAGGCTATGGCTCATTTTCTGGGCCTTCATTTTATTCAGGTTGCATGCCGGCCGACTGCTGACTGCCAACGCCGACCACCGACAGTTCCGCAGCCTACCAGCAGGGCCAATCGGTCGGCGGTCTGCCGACCAGTCATCCATCTAGTGATTTTTAAAATAATACGAGTTTGGGGCTGTACTGGGCTTGCTGAGTACAGCCCGAATCGGCTGAGAAACTTCAGTCTTGGGTAAGGACGGTGCGTGGGGGGCTGAGCGGGGGGGGGTATGCGATCAACCAGCAGCCGACCGGTAGATGCTGCGAGGTGGACCAATTGTGGCCGGCCGGACACTGAACAATTGAGAGTCTCTGACCACTGGCGTGCCTACACTGGGTTGTGTGAGTGAATTTTTGTCCCTAGGCTTTTGTTAGGGCAAACTTTCACACTAGGCCTTCCAAATCGCAAAATCTCAAAATGAGTGGCCAGATTGAGTTCTTGTAAACGAAGGACTCGATCTGGCCGCACATTTTGCGATTGTGTGATTGAAGGCCTAGTGTGATGCTTTCTGTTTTGTTTCTCATATTTTTTTGACTCTTCCGCCTTTCAGGGATATCATTGCTTCCAATTCCTCACATTCAAACTAGGCCCTCAAAATCCCCGAAAAGACAAAAATATGAGACACGAAACAGAACTCGCTCATTTTGCACAAGGCCTGTTTGGACCACCGGTAGGTCTGGTTCAAACGGTTTGGCTGTCGAGGCCCTGGGAGACTTTGGGACTCGCTCCACGACTCGTTACATGCACAGAAGACAGAAAACATGGTTGTGTATCTTCCCATGTTCTAGCAGAAGATTCTTTCTCATTTTGCAAATTTGGTGAGACGTGGAGTGAGGCCCTTTGTCTGTATTGATGTAGCTCAGTGGTTAGAGCACCGGTTGGAAATGCGCATTGTGGTATGAGGTTGTGGGTTCAAATCTGCAGCCTTGTGCATGGACACCGGCAGGGCGTTAGAATGACGCACGGCTGGACATACACTATCCTCTGACCACTACCTTGTTATGATTACAGACTCTGCCTGTATTGGTCAGGGGATCAAGTCCCGGGTGTTGTATGCTGGTTCTGGGTTCCGCATGGCTTGCTTGGGTTGTTGGTCTTGGTCGATCGATTCTCCTCCCCAGTCTGATATACCACACACACGTGCTATTTCTGATTGTTGCTCATACGGTTGAGTCTTCCAGTTACATCTCACAGGTCACGGGTTCGAGCTTGGTCACTGACTTTGGGGGGGTCTGTCCAGTCTGGCCCGTTATACATGGTATTCTCAACACACATATTGACATATGGCCTTCGGCGCCATATATGATTCATACTGCCTTCGGGTATACAACTGGCTTCTGGATATATATATACACAAACATCATAAATAGCCTACATCCATGGCTTCCTGAGCACATACATATGGCCTAAGGGCTTACATGCATCTACAGTTCACTGGGGTAGGGGTAGAATAGACTTAGACTCTAGGGTATAGAATACGGTAGTTACCCCAGCAGGTCTGAGTTCCACCTAGCCAAGATAGGGGCAAGCTAGGGGAAGGACGGTAGGACTGTCAGTCTGAGTTCCGCCTGGCCTTGGGTAAGCTAGGGGAAGGACGGTAGGCTGTCTGGCTGGGGTACTGACTGCTAGTTAGCTGTCCCCGGAAATAAAACCCAGGGGTCTATGATCTCTACAATAAGGACACGAGGTTGGTAGAATATAGTGGTGCCTAGCGTCTGAAGTTCCCGTACAGCGAGGCCTGTCCGATATCGCTTCCACTGGGGCTGGGGTAATAGCTAGCCTTGGTGCCTATCACTACTGTCTGGTCCAAGTCACCCACCTGGCGGTTGGGTGATGGTCCTGAGTGGGTTACACTGAGGTAAGATAGTTGGGTTAGGGGGTACGCTGGGAGTATTGATTAGTGGTAGGGTGGGAGGTGACCTCGTATCTAAGGACTGCGAAGGCTCATCGCTCCCGGTGATCCCTGTGTGCCTGGTAGTTAGCCTCTACAACATCCTGGATTAAAAAAA